CAACGGACTATATCAACAGATCGAAAACGCCCAAATTTGGCGTTTTGGCACGACTTATTCGCATCACTCCAGCATTAGTGAACAGAGCAGGCCATTATCTATTAAAAATGCCTGGACAAATATAGTTTGCACTAACGGTGTTTCATCCCGTTTCTAAATTACGGTAACAAGAGTGATTATAGCGCCGCAACATAAGTCCTTTACAAAAGGATGAACTAATAACAACAATGCAAGCTGTGGTCGATGTAATAACATTTGCGTGGGTGAAACATTTGAGCCAGATCACATTTAAGCTGAATTACTTCAGAAGAGGCTAAACCTCATAATCGCGTCGCCTCCTGAATGTCCCTGAACTATTTTTTTTTTCAGTTATACAAAAGGCCTTTATACGATTCTGGGGTTATCCGCCCGCTAATTGTAGTTTGGTAGACAATTTTCACCCAAAAACGTTCGTTGAACCTTTTTCGATCCATGCAAAATTGCGTTCAGTGTCAACGGTATATGTGAGGGTAGTGATAGGAAGTGAAAGATACACAGTTGGCATTTCTTTGAAGAGCCAGGATTAGAGTATTTTGATGAGATTGTGAGAAGACTGGCCGGAAACGAGTGATTTATTTGTCAAACGCAGAGCCGACACGTATGGTCAGAGTAATTGCGTCAGATAATGGAGGTACTGTGCGGTTTTTTAAAGTCGTATAACGTTTGCGGTTACATTGGCCAGCAGTTGATGGCGACATTTACCTCGTCGTTACCGTTTGCCGTCATGACATCGTAAAACGACGATCGTTTACTGATAGCACTGACAAGTTTACGACGTCCGTAATTTTTGGCTGATCTTTGCCATTCTTGGTATGACAGCGTGGTATGCAGGTGTGTACCCGCAGGTGGAATGCATTCCGGCGCTATGTGGGGGTGGTGCTGACTTCTTTTACCATTGGTGGAAGTATAATGCTAGTCTCCCGAGATGGAATTATTATTTTGCATTTTCAATTATTGATTGAACTCTTAATGTAGCTGCCGCCCTCCCGAGCCTAGTTTTATCCTACTCCTGGACCACGAGATTATACAGGGGAGCTACGGGAGGGAGGGAGGAAGGAATGAGGGAGGGAGGCAGGGAAGGAGGGAAGGAGGGAGTGTCTTTACTTATGCCCATGTTACTTTTCCCGTGTTAGTGCCAAGTCTTATTACGGGCCGCAGTCGCAAGCGGCCGCTACCATGCAGCTAAACCGTGACAACACGTAGTAGAGCTACAACGTGCGGGTGCTTGTTGGTAAATTTGGGCGATGTTGCAGTTATCGTGCAGTTTATTTGGTGGCGTATGCGTCGCATTAGATTTTCGGGCGTGGAGAGGGTGTGGCTTCGAACCACGTATCTTTCTGCAGTTGCGGGATGTATTTTACCATATTTCGTAAGAAGATTACGCATTAGTCACTGATGTTACTATACGTGAACTATTTTGCCGTTAACGTTTGAACGTACGCACGTAAGAAATTGTACACAAATTACAGACGACTGTTGCACACTGCATACGATGACACACAGTATTAACGACTAGGCAAAACCTTCAGCTGTTGTGAGAAATGTTATCGCCGATCAACCCCCAGCCTCATATTTGCATGACAGTGCAAGAAAGTGATGGAAGACGTTCATTCGCTCGGTCACTCTCTCTTTCTAATAAGACAACTAGGGCGCGGTGGCATCGTTCTCTGCATGCAGGATTGAAAAGGACTGATGTGCATGTCGTGGAATACTGCTTGACGAGTAAGCGCGTACGTTAATGCGCCCGAACAGCTGCGTTTTAGAACTTAGAAAACTCAGTAAACAACCGCAGTGACACAGATTCTCCGCCACCTTGTTTGCGAAGCGGCTTAATACGCACCAGCTATTCATCCTGTTGTCCCTACACGGTAAGCTACAAAAACACTCTCTGTGCATAGTTCCTTCCGAATCGGAGGCTCTGTAACACAATCGTTTGGACTCTTACGAAAGTGACTGTCTGCTTTCCATGTCTAATTAAGCCTCCTTAAGAGCGGATTAGGCCGAGCAATATAAAGTCGAAAAAGAAGTGTCCCTCTGGCCCACAGTCGCGTGCTACAGGCCGCTCGGCTGGCTGCTTATAATAACTGTTTGCCTTTACGTTGTTACGGGTCAGTTTGGGGATTTTTTTCTTAGTGAGAATCAAAAGGGTGAGTGAACCAGTTTCGCTTAGTGAATAGACATCCAGGTCGGCGCTAAGGGGTGACTTGGAAGTGACAGAAATATTCCGAAGGGATTTCTCGGCGCGCTCAACTGTTTGTGCACTCTTGCTGCCTATATCTTAGGCTTTCGTCGGTGCTCTATATTTCGCAGGCTATGCCGGAGATAATCCGTTAGATCGCACGTCGCTACAAAATGTGCCGAGTGAAAGCTAAAGGAGAGAGGACGAAAGATGAGGGTTTTTTGAGAGATAAATAGAGGCGGGGTGATAGAGAGACGGATAGATTGAGTGATTGAGTGAGTGGGTGCATGCTGGTGTGCGCGCGTACGTGCGCGCGTGCGTGCGCGCGTGCGTAATATAAATAATTGAGGTCGTGTGCAAAGGACCGTAATATACTAAAAACACTATAAAAGCTAATAGATTATTGCATGTCCAACCCGCTTCGCTTCAGCTACGCCAAGCGTAATTTAGTTCTGATTAACAGTCAACGCATAGCTTCTATATCGCATTATAAAGTCAGAGTTACATGTTGGAATCACTTAGCATGCACCGAGGTGGTGTAGGCGTGCTAAGATAATGGTTTAATAAAATTGTTGTGAAGTATGTGAACTACTTTGTTTGGCTAAAGTACAATGACATCGCAATGTTGGCAAAGTTCCAATATATACAATTTATATAAGTCTATATGTGTTTGTGTGTGCGTGCGTGTGTGGGGTGTGCGAATGCGCGCGCGTGTGTGTGAAGGTAGAAACAGGGTACGTGTCTGTGGTTGTTATTATACTTGTATGTCAGTATTTTGTGTGTAGTGCAGTATGTGTGTATTTTTTGTGTAGCATATAGTTTATATTCCACTATTCAGTAAATATTATTCGATAATTTTGCAATAATAATGTCTGTAAATATATGCAAAAGGTAAAAAAAAAAAAAGCGTATCCAGTAGCACTAAAGCTTGCCACTTCTAATGAAACAGCATATCGTGGGAAGATAATTTTTTATATTGTGTAATTTAACCTCTTGAACACGTCAAAGTGAATTGTGAAGGTAGATTATGAATTTGTAAGCTAGGTTAACTCCTAACTATATTACGAAACTTGTTTACACGAAAAGCAGATAACGCATCTCCTGTTGTCAACGTGTTTCTGTAAGCACGTGCTATCAGATTGCATGTGAACCCACCTACTGTAAAGTGATTAAACCTTGTAGATGGTTCTTACTTTTTTATTTATAGACGCGCGTTAATATTCAGGTTTGGTTTCCACAGTCTCGTAAATCAGAGTGGCACGCCACCTGGCGTGCCTTCCATATGTTCATGAGATACAGGTATACATAAATCAAAATGTTATAATTCTAGTCGGTGAATAAATATTAGCAGACACTTTTATTCGATTGCGCGCGAAGGTCTCGGTGAAATGTGCAGCTATAACGTGAGATAACTATGGAGAAGGTAGGACTGCAATTAGGAAGGGGTCAAGATTGTGTTTATAGGCACTTTGACCGAAGTGAAACGAAACGGATTCACCGTCTGAATAGTAAGGTGATGGATAATTCGAGTACTCGCTCGAAATAATCAAGACACTTGTCGTGTACATCACCTAATGATTTACACGTGGTTTGCCAGAAAAGCCCCTCATACGCAGACGCCAGCTACGATTCTTTAGCAAACGTTATTTATGCTAAACACCAGGTGTCCTTGCTGTCGGCTATTCGCTGTCAGCCGCAGCGAACGCTGGTGGTTCGCTCGTAAATTCGACAAGTTCTGAGTAAAAGCTCATTATTTTGCAATGATCGCCAGTGACACTCACTGTCAGTCGAAATAGAAAACAAACTGGTGACAATTTTCCGATCGGCTACGTTCATGTACACCTGGAAGCGACTAACCTGCTATTGTGGCAGGTCTATCGTTTGCCTTTGTATTGCCACTATTTTGCAGTAAATAACTCGTACGAAAAAAGCTGAACACCCACAGTGCTGGAAGGAAACAGCCGAACCGCAAAAAAATGTGAGCATGAGATTTTGATCTTGCTTAACGAGCTCGGGGTCGTAGTCGTCGAGCGGTATGCGTGGCGTGTGCGTGTGCGTGCGTGCGTGCGTGCGCCCGTGTGTGTGCGCGCGAGTGTGTGAGTGGTGTGAAAAGTCCGTTAAACACTTCTTTCTTTTAGCTTCTTTCTTTGCAAAGTATGACATCATCCACGCCTCCATTATTTTAAAGGCTCTTTAAAAACAACCTGTTACATAGTTAATGGATGGTTAAACTTCTGCCCATGGAACCATTTTCATAATTGGTGTCAATAGCTACGACGGTTCAGTCCATCATAAAGAACTCGGATGATTCTTATTTTATTATAGTCTGATAATTATTAGTTTCTTATTATGTATATTGCTTTAGATCTACTTTAAATTTGAAACTATAGTTTTGCCCCATCTGAATGTGATAAATATTTACACGAACTGTTGAATCTGGTGTTAAGACGTGGGATCAAAAAGGCGTCAAAATTTAAATATCAATCAAAATGTGAGGAACGGGTTCAGGATAGTCTATACTCGTTGCCGTGAGTTTCGGCTAGTTAACCAGTAAAACCGTCGACTGGTTTGGTGAGGCGTAGGGTAGTGTTGCATGGCGCGGTGCCCATGGTAGCCTGATGTGGTATGGCAAGGTGCGGTGTCGTATAATGTCCTGTAGTATAGCATGGCTGTATATCTTCTGTAAAACTAAAAGCTCAACCATTCCGCTTCGTACGGTTAGTTCTAACTGTATCTATCTATATACCCCTTGGTAGAGGATTAAGTGGCTAGTTTCGCTTACCGCTCTTGCTTGAGTGGGAATCGGTGGGTAGAACCAAGCTCTGCAACGCTCCGCAGTACTTGCCGTTGCTCCCCGGGCTGAGAGCATCCAGGTTGAGCGTGGAGCTGAAAGCGCTTAGGTTGCTCATTGACTCCATGATTCGTCTCCGATCTTCCGGCGTCAGTGAGTCCTGCATGGGGGGTTTGGTGTCTTCGCTACCCTTGGTGAAGGGCGTGTGCCGCAGCACAAAGCCGCGCAGGTTGTCCAGATACTGCGACATGGTGCGCGTCCACGTCAATCTCCCCGCTGATGGAATTTCCTTCCTCCCAGCTAGATGTCACTGAACAGGTTCCGTATCCCTAACACGATCGCGTCTCTCTCGATATGATAAGCACTATTCACTCGCGTGCAAAAGATCTTTTACGGGACGTTGATCAGATGTAATGTGTTGTGAGATTTTCATCGTGTCTCTTTCGGCGAGCCTGAGGGACGGAGTGGCGTTACTGCGCGCATCGCACACGAAATGTGACACCTGGCACACTCTCCATCTCGTTCCCAACTATGACAGTCCCGCCTACTATCGCGTTGTCACTTTAACTGCACCGATTATAGGATAATGATCATTGGGCAATTGGAACGATTAGCTCACTTTCGCCGTATTGTTGAATTTACGGGCATTCTCTCTGGGTCACTAAGATCCCACGCTAGCACGGTCGCAATTAACTCTGCTTTCTTAACGTGTGTCTTGAGGGGGAAACTCGCAGGCGATAAATATACCATGCGTGTCAGATTTCCATTCTAACGCAATCACGCTCTGCTATGGTATAGCAATCGTGTGTACACTATACGCACAGGTAGCTCCTTTCTCGTGCGATTAGAATGCGAAATAACGCTCGTGCTGATCGCTGAAAATCACACAGTTTCTTTGACCTGCTGCTAGTACTACTACTAACACTGCTGCTGCTGCTGCTGCTAGTGGTGGTGGTGGTGGTGGTGGTGCTGCAGTTGCTGCTAGTGGTGGCGGTGGTGCTGCAGTTGCTGCTAGTGGTGGCGGTGGTGCTGCAGTTGCTGCTAGTGGTGGCGGTGGTGCTGCAGTTGCTGCTTCTGGTGGTGATGTCGGTGGTGGTGCTTTCCTCCCCCACCAGTACGCGGCATGCGTGCCAGGTGTAGTGTACAAATATCCACAGTTCTTCTCTGCACCTTGCACATGCAACTGTCCACGATCTCCTCTCGACATTCCATTCCTCTCCTAGCCGTTAATCAGCCTAGGAGGCGGAGATACGCTGAAATCTTCACCCGGCGACTTTCTATGTGTAAAAACTCCGATTCACTTAAATAACAGAAACATTTTCGCGGGGAAACACTAGCAGGCGTCCCGGAAGCACTGTCACTGGTGAAGGTAGGAGGAGGTGTTTTTTATGGCTGCCGACCGCGCTGGGATCTGCCCGCAGAGCTTCGTCCTCCCTGAACGCTCTCGATGGTGGTCGTGGTGAGCGAGTGCTGCGCTCAACCAGCAAGTGTTGCTTAGCACAGTGCACACGCCACTCGTTAGAGCTGTGCTCCAGTTGCCACGCCGAGCCGTACGTATACGTGGCTGCCGTGTTCCACACCGGTGGCCAAGCGGCGCGCACGCCGCATGTGCCTTGTACGCCCAGTCCCGTTACGCGGTTACACGGGCAACCTGCGCGAAAACTCGCGCTCACACTTGTGCGCTTTGTGGCGGCGTGCCTTCAAATAGCAACTGGATTATAGTCACCCTGCTTTTGACTAGCCGACACACCGCCCAATGCCCACCGCCCACCGCCCACCGCATACATGATCTGTCTCGGCGGGATGGCTTAGAGTTTTTTTTTAAACGAATTCGATAGTCATTGTTTTTCTATTCGCGCTTCTGCTCACCCCGGGGCACCACGCGTGGAGACCATGCTCTCTATGACCCTGTGGATGAGTATGGGCGACATAGATGTCTTTCGCGAGGTTTAATTGTAAGTATTTTTTTCTGTACGACGACGAAAACAAGATGGGTGGGCATGTATCGAATTCGTTACAAACCGAACTGCAAGTTTACAGACGCGTGTGCTTAGAGCTACGCGGGTTTCCCGTGTAATTTCACAGGTAACCAAATATTATTCGATGAGGGCTTAATATACCCTTTGTGTGATGAAGATGGGGACTAACAGTCATTTCAGTCTAGTTATTTTGATGTTTATTGTTGATTGTTGTTTAGTAACTCTTTATTCCCGCGCAGTGAAAAGCTCAAATAAATGTCACCTACAGAATCGCATAGACTAACGCACTAACAAGAGGGCAATTCGTCACTTGCACTTGCCGTGTACTACGCAGTGTACGCAGACGACATCCACACAACAGGCGCAAGTGTAGTCGATTTAAGGCGGTAAAATGTGAAATATTATCTGTATTCAACCCGACGGATCCAGTCATTTGTCAAGTTAATGGTAAGCTGTGGGTGTGGGGCTATGCCCTTGAATGCTCACGCATCAGTGTTTAGCCATGCATGTAGGGGAGCTGAGATCGTTTGGCACGAGCAGCGATCCAAGTATTACAGTTACCGCCAAACTGCTATAGTCTGAGTAAATAGTGTCACATTTTTCGTACTTTCTGTGAGCGTTTGTCACGGAAGTTGGGCGCCATATTTTTTAGACGTTTACCATCGCGTTTATAACCTTAGTTAGGTTATATTTGGAAGAGGAAGCAAGAGAGAGAGAGAGAGAGAGCGAGTAAGAAGTGGCTGAATATTATATTATGCAAACAAGATCAATTTAATCTTGTTAAATGTATTATACTGGATCAGAGAATTCTCGTCGTAACTAATCCGTTCTCACTGAGACTACATAATAATTGTATATTAGTAAGCTCTTTATAGTAGGATTAAAACATACATCACGTAACCCATATAACGTAGGCCACTCCTACGCTTTGTTAAATCATGTTGTTCATGAAGTTAGGTTGTTATTTTTGACAGATCTTCAGAGTCGAGTGATACCTTATTGTCGTTGCTGCCGTCATCAACGTTATTGTCTTGGTGTGATTGTTATATTATCTTGAGACGGAGAGCCTGTAATATTATTATCAGAAGTAGATAATAGGGAATTACATATTATCTACTTCTGATTATTATGTATTATGCATTAGTATTATATGCATTAGGTGATCATACCTAACAGCTGCCGTTTACTCTCGTACGTGCTAGTCGTCGTGAGCGAATTCCTTCACACTTAGGCGCGAACGCGGGCGTGTTCACAGCCGTATGTCATGTACGTCCTGCGCCGCCTTCTTCTTTACCTGTCGACGTGAAATACGCTCGTGGGTCAATACGCATTTTTGTTTACCAACGGTGATCAAATGAATGGGGGTGGGTGATGGTTAAGAGCTACGCTACCCTTGGCTCATCCACTTGCGCCGCTGCCATGACCAGCAGGCATGCATACGTTTAACCTCCTCACGGTGGGCCAGCGTGAGACAGCCTCTGTGTTCCAGCTCAGTAAAGATAGCGGCGTCCGTTGTCTTTTTTTAGCGCGCTAACACATGATTGAGAAATCCCTAAAAAATTCATGTGCTGCAATAAATTGGTTGCCCCCCATAGGTAAACCATCAGCATGCGCTGGTAATGTACCGAAATTATTGGGCTAGTTTTCATAATTAATTTATATTTCAAAAGTCTGCCATATATATATATATATGTGATATATATATATATATATAAATGATATATATATATATAATATATATATATTCATATTAGCTCTTGATATATATGAATATCGAGGAAGTGAGAGGTAGTAGTAAACTTGACATAAGAGATGGATACCCAAATTTAATAAAGATTACGTTTGAATGAAACCACAGTCACCAACACCGCCCCACTAACAATCAAATCAAAATTAACTGTGAAATGCGCAAGAAAAAAATCCATTATGCTAATGCTCTTGTAAAAATCTAGTAAGACGACACTGATCATGACAGAGCAGACATGTCAGCGTATAAGTGAACACTAGGAAGTGTGTCTGCCTTCATCTGTGTGCTAGATCAGGTAAGATTAGGCTGAAATGCTTAGACGCTTTTTAACACCTCTCCTATAAAGAACGTGGCGCCGTCTCAGAACCGATCCGCACGCGCGAGCTATTGATAGCAAAGCGACAGAAATGAAACGAAGGGGGACAACATGGCAATAAAAGAGTCGAGCACGGACGCTGGAAGAAGGGGCGGTTGCAATATGAGAAGATATTAGGAGGATGCAAGCCGTGGCTACTGGACAAACTGTAGTGACATATGACAGGTTAGCACTTCCTCGTTGATAAGACATCCATTCAGTGACTGCTCGATACATGTGTATACGGCTGCAGCGATAGCCGGATTAGGCCCTAGGCGGCCAGAGGTGAGCTCCCGCGATTATGTGCCCTCTCTAATCCTCTTAAGGTGGCCACGTTGCTCGGAGGGATGGCTGGCTGGCTGGTAGAGTCAGTGGTTGGTTGGCTGGCCGCGTGGGTGCTAGCACTGTGACATTAACCGCGGCTGCCCCACTCGGCGCGCTGGCACGCTCGGTTTGGTTATCTCCGTCGCGCGGGTGTCGTACTTCTATCGGTTATCAGTGCGCGCGATCGGCCACTACTGTTACACTGCTCACAGTGTTACTGGAGTAAACAGTAGTCGACCACGATCTTGAGGCGCCGTTTTTTAGCTACTACTAAGGGGAGTGAGTGAATCCGTGGTGTGTAGGCCTACCCCCCCCCCCATTCGCGGGTTGTGCCATACTCTGTCTTTCTCTCACCTTGGCTCATCAATGGAATGAGTTATAATGAACATGATCCGCGGATCCATGCAAAATGCATCGCTCCTTCGTTGTCAGCCAACTCTATCTATCCCACTGTTTTTGTTATACGCCCAATATTAAGGATTCGTGTTATAGCAAACAGGTTCTTATATAAAAAAAATACCGAAAATTAGAGCAAACGGGGGCAATCCAAGTATGTGTGCTACACAATTGGAAACTGTCTTCTATTAGTCAAATCAATTTTCACAGCATTTGACCTTTCATTGTGTTTAATATGATAAGTAAATTAAAGGTGATAAATAAATTAACTCAAATGAATTTAAACAGACATATAATTTCTAATATTAAGCAGTTGGCCAATTTTACCTAGATAATGTACACAATATCTCCCCCCCCCAAATAATTTAAGAACCTTTTCAGGCTGATTTCTCACTATGTACCATATATATAAAAACCTCTTCAGCCTGAAACAGAAAATCACGGGTTCTTTTATGCGGGTGTTTACTGTATCGGAGGAAGTACGGAATTGCGGCACAAATCTGAACGGCTCGACCTATGCTCTTAATATTCGGTGTATAGTGTGATGGGCAGGAAACCCATCACCAGTGCGAAATTGGAGGTCACAGGTCAAAGGGCGGTGGGGGAAAGGTCAGATATCAGAAATTTTTTGAGTACATGGCCTAATGGACAGAGTGGAAAACTTTTTTGTTTTAGCGCGGACCTACCATTTTTATCACTTTATTGAAAGGACCATGAAATGTGCTTTTCACTGACGTGCGAAGAGTAAGTGTCTGATAACCTTTTGACCCTCAAGAGGAGGGTTAAACATGGATTCCTGAACTGCCTCGATGATGTCAGTGTTCTCATATTCATGGCACATCCATAATATAGAAAGCCAATAAGCCTGGAAAGCCGAACGGGTACAGCACAGGCGTAAAGGCTAAAAGGTCCTTGGATCGAATCCCATCCGATTTTTTATTATTTACCTGTTTTCTGTATTTTTCTATCTTCATCCATTTAACTATTTTCTCCAATTAACGCAAATATTTACATGATTTATTTACAACAATTTAATAACAACAAATAATTTTTACAACAATTAATAAGTATTTTTTAATAGGGTTAGGGCTAGGGTCACAATGCACCATAAATCAGGAGTTTTAGGCACGCGATG